TTTCATCTCTGGCACAGTAACCAAACTTCTCCTTGAGAGCCAAAAGGAAATGTAAAGATGCCCCACAGGCTTCCTAGCTAGCAGGCAATCCATGACAACTGTTTGCTGAAACAGGAAACCTATGAATTTTTTTTCTTCTTCTTTTTCAAATGGAAAAGAAAAAAGAAATTTCTGCCAGCATTTAACAGCCAAGTAGGAGCGACCTGATTTTCAGCTTCCACTTCACTTTGTGGGTTTTACAACAGTTTTATAACTCTGAAAACTTACTGTAATGCCTATATTTGGGTTTAAGTACCTGGTGTAAGGCACTTTGTTAGAAAGGACTGGACTTAAGCAATGCAAGCAGATGACCAGTTTCCTAGTTCCTCCTTGTGCCTTGGCTCAGGAAAGGAAAACACTTCCTCTTCCTTCTGAGGGCCCCAGACTTCCTGTGCCATCTATTTATACGGTTGTTGTAATGAGCCCCAACTTAACCACTTCCTTGCCTGCCTTCATTTAGGCTTCACGTCTTTTCAATCTGTTTTCACTTTGCCTTCGTAGTTCACCTGCAGCTTCTCCTGAAGTTTGCTGCTCAGAGCTGCGTCTCCATGCTTGGAGCACGGTGTTGTCAGGGTGTTCTGTTGGCCAGATGACGTGGCTTGGAGAGAACGAAGAAGGGCAGACTTATGTTGGGCCCTGTTGGTCTTTTTACACCAGATATAAAGGAAGAAAAGATGATCAGCTGTAACGAGAGCTGTCAGAACATTTAAGTAGATGGGAAAAGGCCACAAGATGCAACCAAAGAGCAGCGATTAAAGGCTTTAGCGATAGGACATAAAACTATTAGAGAGTGTGCAAAGAGAGGCTATGGAGATAGCAAAGGTTCTTTTGAGCTCTTCTCGTAAATCACATTTTCCAGCTCTTCTTTTGACATTTCTCCTGGGGACTCTCCCTGGTATTTTTACATGCTCCTTAAAAAATGGTGCCCCGGCTGAGTGCAGCAGCCCAGATAAGTGCAGCAAGACAGCTTCTTCCTGGCTCTCATATGACAGTCCCATTAATAGATCTCAGAAAGACACAGGCTTTTTCTGATGCATCTTCTCACTATGAAATTGCTGCACGGCTTCTGACTCGCTCTTATCCAGATTCCTTCGTGCAGTTCTGTTTTACAGGCTGTTCTCTATGTTGCATATGCTCTCTCAGTGCTTCCTTTCCATATGTTGTGGCTATCATCTGTGCAGGGCGGAGGTGCTTGCAGGCATCACTGCAGAGCGCGGTGCCGTGGAGCGGAGCTCTGCTCCTGTGTCCTGGGAGCTGTGAGATCTCCTGGGGATGTGGTGTGTTGCTGTGGAGATGACACTCGCCATCCACATTTCTAATGACTTGAAACAATTCACTCTGCAATTAAAACAAGATCTATCCTGTGATAACCCAGAGGAAATAGTTACTTGCTAAATGGAGGCGGGGGGGCGGGAAGTGGATTTCATTGTTGGGTGCTGCTTGGGTGGCTCCAGCTTTGTTCTGTGCTGCCCCATCTTGCTCGCTTGGTTTGCATTGCCCCGTTCTGCCTCTGCTCCCCATCTCAAACACGAGAGCAGGTTTGCATGGAGTTAAGGCTCCATTTTGCCTTGCTGCTGTCCTCCTGTGTGGAGAAAGCTTAATCAGAGTGCACCGTTGGTCTGGTTTTCACTAATATTCTCTACAAGATGCTGGCCAACGCAGTGCTGATACTGTGCTACCCACCACTGCTTTTCCTCCCTAACCTATGAACCTTATCTGCAAATTCAAGCCTGAGGAAAGCTCATGTCCTGACTGCATGCTGCTTTGCTTTGCTCATTGGCAGTGAAAACAGTCTGACCGGCCTTTGGGCAGGCTCACCTCACAGCCCACGCTGTGGCTGCAGCCCAGATGGTCTCTCTGCATCACACTGATGCTCCATAGGTACCGGCTCTGCAGACTCACCTGCTGGCTGGGGACACACCGCTGCAGGAGGGCTCTGTCACCCCATGCCTCGCAGCGATGCTGTGGCTGTGGGGGGTCACACAGCACTTGTGCGTCCCGTGGTACCCAAACACCTTGCAGCTGTGTGCTGGACAACGTGACGAGCGTTTGTCATGCAGGGTTTGTTCTCATCCTTTCCCCAAGGGGAGAGGCAAATGCTGTGCAGTCTTGCTTTCACTGTCAGACAGTGTACGGTTTTAGCTGTGTCTCTGTGCAGAGAGCAGAGCTCTTTTCACAGCAACGGCAACAGGCAGAGGGGGTTGCTGGGCACTCCTGTGCCGGAGGGGCACAGCCCTTCCCACGTGCTTCCTCTACTGAGATCTTTGCAAATAATAACAATTATAATACAAAAGAAAAAGAGCGAGAACAATCCAGTGATCTTTGCTCTCAAATCCCTGCGATGCACAGCAAGGCTGTGTGGCCGCTGTTGCTTTGGTGGTGTCGGGGAGGGCCCTGGGGTTCCCCCACATTGAGAGGGAGCTGAAGGAGTTCGAAACCTCCCCGTCCTTCCCCCAGCTCTTGGCCACAGCCAGTCACAGCCCCTGGCCCACCGTTCTGTTTCCTGTTGCAGCTCCTGCTGTCTGCGCAGCCGCTCGAGGTGCACGTTCAGCTCCCTACTGAGCAGCACCATAAAGTGCCATCCTCTACCTTGACTGTGTGTGGTGGAGAGTCTGTCCCTTTTGCTTTGAGTGCTTGGGGAAGGGCTGTAAGAGCAGCCAGCACTGCCGTGATGGAGCCTGCCTCCCTTTAAGGTGCAGCTCAGAGCAGGGCTGGGGTGGCACAGGTCCCTGTAGTCCCTGTGAAAGGAGATGGCAGGGTTAGTGTTCATGGTGGGTGCTGGAGCTTGCCAGAGCAGCCAGAAATGAGGGAGAACCTCTCTGCACTTATGTCCCTGCACGGGAGCTGGGGTTTGCGGCCTGCCTGGGGAACCTGTGCTGGACCACAGGCATTGGTCTGCTCCTGGAATGCAGTGCACCGTGTTAGAGGAAGGAGGCCGTACACAAAGCGCTGCTTCTTCTGGTTACCACAGAGACCAGGATGGTTTCAGAGGCTGCACTGTCCTCGGCAGCAAAAAAGCGTGAATTCAGCCTTTCCTCTCCCTTCCCTTTGGCCTGCAGAGGCACTCTTTGCCTTGCAGGCACCCTTGGCAGCACTGGGGCAGGAGAGGGATGCTCACCCCATCCACCCAGGGAAGCAGGCGGGCAGCGAGGTCTTTGGGAAGAGGAGTAGGAGTGTGAAGACAGGTTTGGAAAGAGGAGGAGCGGGAGTGGGCTGCAGGAGTTTGAGAAGTGGGAGAGAGCTCAGACAGCAAAGCTTTCTTCCTGCAAAGGTGCAGACGGCAACGCCAGTCTCTTTGCTCTCTGTGTGCTTTAGGCTATGAGGGACCTCATGCCTTTTTCCAGGTGCCCTCCAGGGTAGCTCAGGGCAAAACCAAAACATAATCCTGTGTTTGCCTATGTGTTGCCTTAATGCTGAACTGTCTAGCTAACAAGAATAATACATCTTAATAACTGCAGGAACACCTGGGAGACAGAGCAGGAGGCTGAGCAGGCACAGCTCTCAGGGATTGTGTATTTGTTATGGAAATGCTTCTTGCTGTGCCTTTAGAGACATGCAGGTGTAGTTAAAAAAGAGAGGTGTTTTGATGACTGGCTTTGAGGGCACTTCAGACATGGTTCTGCATTGAAAACTTTGTCCTAATTTCTAGTCTGAGATTTTTCTCTTTGGGAAGAACTAAAAACAAATGCTGCTGTTGTTGCTAGGACTTGCTGGAGACTTTTGTTTTCTGTGTTCTGCTCACTTAAGAGTTATGCCAACATTTCTCCTATTTAACCTCTAGTTTTTAATACTTAAGAGATAATGAGAGATTGGGCAAACCCAACCAGTGGGTCAAGGAGTTCAGAGTTGGATTAGAGCTCTGTTTTTGCAGCCAGTTGTTCACAGCAATTTTGGACGTATGGATGTAATTGCTCTAAAACTTTGCCTCTGAAGATGTCTAGGCCTTATCTCTGTCTTTGCTCTCTGCAAGAATCCCTTTCTTGAGATTAGTTCTAGAAGCAGGTTTAGTCATAGTTAAAATGCAGCTGGCAAGTGCAGCATTGTCCTGATGCTCACTGTGTCCCTGGCTTCCTAAATCTTCATAGATCCATAGAATGGCCTGGGTTGCAAAGGAGCACAGTGCTCATCCAGTTCCAACCCCCTGCTGTGTGCAGGTCACCAACCAGCAGCCCAGGCTGCCCAGAGCCACATCCAGCCTGGCCTTGAATGCCTGCAGGGATGGGGCATCCACAGCCTCCTTGGGCAACCTGTGCCAGTGCCTCACCACCCTCTGGGTGAAAAACTTCCTCCTCATATCCAACCTAAACCTCTCCTGTCTCAGTTTAAGACCATTCCCCCTTGTCCTATCACTTCCCACCCTCATAATCAGCCGTTCCCCCTCCTGTTTATGCACTCCCTTCAAGTATTGGAAGGAATCATCCGAGCTTTTTTTTGCCATGGCAGTGCCTTGCTAGCTGGTTTCACTTGAATATAGCTCTGAGCCTTTGAATCTGGAAGGGACAGGATGCCGGCATCTAGATTTAGGCGTGTTTATCTTGCCATCTCACAGGAGAGTTCTGCCTGCGTGCTGCAAAGTGCTGCACAGTCTGGGGGTTTGAGCTCAGTCAGAGAGGGAATGCAAAAATGAATGTGGGAGAACTCTGTGTTTAAAGATTCCCTCTGCTTTGGAGCCAAGCACACTGAATGAAGAGAGAGAGCTCTTCCATTTGGCTTCACTGAGCCTTGGGAGCTGCCATTGCTGACACCGGCTGGAACGTGTGTGCATATCTGTTTCTGTTTGTACTGCAGAAGTCATTCTGCACAGAGCCTGTAGTCAGATGGGCAGGGAGAGCCATGCTGCCTTTCTCTGGACAGCAGTCATGGGTTTTTCTCTCCCTGAGACTTTGCTTTTCCTCCTGTGAAGAGCAGCACTTCAGCGGTTGGAAATCCCAGACCACGACAGCGTCTGTGTTTTGTTTCAGGCATCAGAAGGAGTTCCTGTGAAGTATTTTGATAACTTGGAGGAACTGATAGAATTTTACAAGAAAGAGAACATGGGGCTGGTGTGGCACCTCAAATACCCCGTGCCACGAGAGGAGGAGGAGGCTGCCGACGAACCAGAGGAGGATGCTGGTAAGAAGCCCACCCTGTGGCTGGCCGAGGCCAAGCCTGACACTTGCTCTAGTCTAGCTTTGTATGGAGGCAGATGTACGATGAAGAGTTGTGATGGGCATCATCCCAACTATGGTATATGAATGTCACTTGGATCGCTCCTGGGATTTTTCCTAGGTCATCCATCTCCCAGGAGAAGGTCATGCCCACAGAGCCATCCTTCCTGTCCTGGTGTCTGTCTGGAAATGATGTGCCACTCAACAAAACCTGTCTGACGGACACAGTGCCTGTGATGGGCAGTCTGCACTAAAGCAGATTGGTGTGCCTGCATACGTTTGTACAAACCAATGGCTCTCTGGAGCTGGAAAATTTTGCCTTGAATATCTAATGAAGAAACAGAACAAAATTTTGCAAAGCTGCTCAGGAAAGATGTTCCTGGTTTTTTTTTTTTTGTTTTTTTTTTTTTGGCCAGCTGCACTAAATCTGCTCTCAGAGCGGGGGAGGGAACTGCAGCAAAAATAATACAGAGAAGCAAGCAGCAGGGAATGAAGTCCTAGCCAAGGCTAAGAGCCTTTAGATGAAGAGGTATCAGCACTTGGGCTGGGCTGCTTATGGGCAGATTTTAGTTTTATAGACCCTTTGGTGCCATCCTTCTGGAACCATGCAGGGCTCCCAGGTGTCAGTCGGTCTCACACACACACAGTTGCAGAGATGCCTCTGTCTGCAGATGGCTGAGCCATGCTGCTGCTCATTGCTGTGGTGGCTTTGTGGGTCACAGCTCTGCACAGGAGCAGTGATTCAGCACCAACTGGCAATGGGACAATCCCACCACTGGGAAATAGCCAAACTAAAGCTCACAACTCAACCAGCTACGCATGACTGGCATAACAAGGCGTGGAGCAGTAGGCATGAAAAGAAAGACAACCATGGTTTGGATAGATTTAGAGGAACCCACTTCGCTCCCAGGAGATGGAGGAGTAGTGTGCTGAGCAGGCAGGATGACAGGAATGTGGGAGGGCAGGAAAACATTCTGCAGGTTCCACTCAATGACTGCAGGGCAAAGGAGAGTACTTGGCCCCTTTGTATTGGATTATATTTTCTCCATTTGTCTTTGCCCGCTTTAGCTGTCCACTTCTTTCCATTAGCAGCTTCTGGTGCTCACTCCATCGTGCCCCTTCATCCATTCTGCCCCAGCAGCACACCTCCACGATAATGGTAATGGATGGGTATAGCTGTGTTTTTTAAGCATTTTGTTCAAAATAACTAATGAGCCTTTGTGGCTGCTCTGCAGCTGGGACAATCACAGAGAGGCTGGGACATCGGATGAGGTTATGCTGCGAGGCACAGCGTGTGCTGGCTGTGCATGAGCTCCAAGCCTGGTGGCTCAGCGGTGTTGGCCTCACACCACTGACACCCCTGATACTGCGCCAGTATTGAGCCCTGAGCTTCCCGGCTGTGAAACTGAAGGCCTTTCAGAAGGTTTCTACAGTGACTGCCACTGCGGTGCAGACTCCGTGCTCCTGGTGGGAAGGGGGGACAAGGTTACATTGCTGTGCTGGGGTAACTGGGCCTGTCCCTTCCTCCTGGCAGACCAGGTACCCACGCCTCCCATCCTGCCCCCACGCAACATCCTCATGGCATTGCCGGGCAGCGAGACGAAGGACGTGTCTTCTCTCCCTGAAAACTCCAGGGTGGCAGATGTCAACAAGCTGTCCCTTTCTGAGACACTACTCCAGCGACTGCAGTACCAGGACACAAGCAGGTGAGGCTGGCCAGCCACAGGGCAGCAGAACCGGCCCTCCATCCAGCTCTGAGCTCTGCCTCTCTCTGGGGCAGCTGGGGACCTATTTGACTTAGCCAGACTGCTCTTTGTTTATACTACCAAATGGAGGACAGAGAGGTGTGATGCGTTGCCCACACCTTATGGTCTAGAGAAAGTACTTTTCTGAAGTATTAAAATCAACAGTAGACTTTGGTTTTGAATGTAAATACAGTAGTATCATAGAGAACTTATCTTAGAGAACTTAGTGTCATAGCTATGTGTCTAAGCTACAGATTTTATCAGAAACCACCAGCCAGTCCCCAAAAAGAGTAAGCTGGTGTGTGGATTTCCAGGTACTCAGTGCTGATTTATTCCAGCTACAGGTCTGACTCACGTTGTCCCATGAGCTGTGCCAAACCTGAGCATCCACAGAAGCCTTAAAGGAAGCTGTGTGACGTTTGATGGTCAGATGTGCAAAAGTTTTAAAAAATAAATAAATAAGAAGGCATGTCTGTGGGCAGGGCAGTGGGAGGCTGAGCGAGCAGTTGCAGTGCATTGCAGCACCGGTCCTGGTGTGATTGCCCAGCAGCAGCTGGCTGATGGAGAAACCCAGTTTTGGTCAGCTACCTGCATCATTTCATCTGCTGGGATTTTCTGCTTTTGTCAGGGCACGGGACAGCACGTACAGACTGCTTGGACTTGCTTGGACTTGCAGGAAGGAGGGGAGCATCCTGCTCAGCTCTGCAGTCTCAGCACCCCTTAAAATTGTTTTGGACTGTTTGGAGTAAAACCTTCCAAGTGGGACGTGATGAGGTGAAAGGGGGTCTTCATCTCCCTGGAGTGGCCACATTGCTGTTAGCTGTCTCACAGCAGCCTGGCTTCAAAGCCAGGCATCACAAGAGCACTCCTGGTGCAGGAGCTCAGTATCGGGCAAGAGAGAACCTAGGGTGGTGAAGGACAGAGAGGAGAAGGTGGCAGCACCTTGTGATGGTGGGAGACCCTGTGATAGTCCAATTTAGAGCACTGTGTGTTCACACTGAGATCCAATGCAAACTGCCTCCATCTGTCTGCGCTGGCAGCGGAGGTTTATCAAAAAAGAAGCAATAAATCTGCCCAATATTTGAGAGCAGAGAGCTGGCTTTTGACATGTGTGTCTCTTTCGCAGTGTCTCTGATGAGCACCTTAAACTCATCCAGGATTACCTGCGAGTTCACATCATCAGTGACTTAGAGATGGTGCAGACTGGTTCAAGCAATCTTCCCCAGCTGAAGAAGCTGCTGGCACTTCTTTGCAAAGGACTCTTCAGGTAAATTACAGGCTGATTTTCAGAGATGACAGCATAATGCTGTAACAGTGTAGTCTAATGTAAGTGCCACATGCATGCATTCAAAACCTTAAACGGTGAATCTGCTTATCCTCAAAAACATTGTACGTGCATCTCCTGACCTGTAATTCTGGCCCAAAGATGTGAGATTTATTTAAAAGACGCAGCTGTGAGAGTGAAGCTTACCTGTGGGAGGTTGCAGTTGATGGAGGTGGGGGTTTTTTTATTTTGTTTAGAAAGAAAACAAAGTAAAAAAAAAAAAAAGCACTAGAACCGATTAACTACATAATTTGGTAATGCATAAATGACACCCACAGAATTGTCAAGCAGAAATCGTTTCTGGAAATAAACACATATTGGTGTTTAGCTGTGCCTGAAGTGCTGATTTCCCTTCCCACGAAAGCACTGCGAACCAAGAGCAATCCCACTGATGTCAGTGAGGTCCAGCTCAGATGTAAAGAGAAACAAGCCCAGATTACAAACTTACCTTTCCTATTTATAGCCCTTCCAGGCCCCACATAGGAAAACTCCAGTAGGGAACCAAAACCTTGAGGAGCTCCCTGTGTTTTCTCTTGTGGAAAGATGTGATTTCCCCCCTGTGGTGCCTGTAAGCAGACAAGGTTAGCACTCACTGTTGCAAAGATCTAAAAGAAAGCAGAGGGCCGACTTCCACATTTGTGTCTGTTGCTTACAATATCTTCCTTTCCCACTCCTCCCTGTGCTCACAGAGCTCACCAAAGGTAAGACAGAGCTAAAATGAGGGGTGAACACTGCTGATTGCTTAGCATTAACCTGTGCGTGGAAGGCAGAGGGTGAGCGATGTTCTCAGCTGCTTGGCACCACAATCACTGCCCCGAGGCTGTGGCACAGGGCACGTTTCACCAGGCAGAGGGTGAGGTGTGTGCAGCCCTGCTGCTGCCAGAAGCCAGCCGCCCACAGGGCTGAGGGTCGGTCATGCAGAGAGCTGCACTTCTTCTGCACCCTGCGTGAGGGTTCTGCTTCTCCACACCCACAGAGGGGGAGACCCAGGTGGCCAGCTAAGAATACATCTGTGCGATGGAAACCAGAATCTAATGAAATCACAAGTGAGAGTTTTGTGTTACCAAAATACCTCCAGTGCTGCTGTTCTGCTGACGGCTGGCTTTTTCCATTCTCGACTTCTTATTCTTTTTGACCTCATCTGGGTTTCGTAACCCTGTTCCTCATAAATGTGTATGGGATGGCAAGAAAGAAAGAGAAGCAGCTGGTCTGCAGTCCTCTCAATAGCCGGGACAGCTTTTCCATTTCCTGAAGATAGATCAGAAGATCCTGTAGGATTTCTTGGTGACTGGGCTTTGGGAAGCACCATCCTCGAACAGACCTGGGGCAGTTCTGCAGGAGGAGCTCAGAGGCACAGCACTTTACAGACACAGCAAAGGGCAGGCAGTATTTTCCCCCCACTTCTGACTTATTTCTGTCCGACACAGCTGCTTTCTTTTCCATGAGGGTCTGCCAAGTACAGCAGTCTCAGAGATCTCCCTGAGGAACCCTTCCTCTGCTCTTCCAGTTGTGACTCCATCCTAACCAAACTGCTTGGTTGGCTTTAGTTGTCCAGTTGTGCTTGGGTGTCTTACTGTGTTCTGCAGAATCTCTGAGGTTGGCTGGGGCTTTATGTTCTTTCCCTCATCAGACTTCTGAACTTCCATTCCATCAGTGCCATTGCATGAATTTAGTTTTTGTTTATATCAGCTTTCTCCAGGGATTCCAGCTGGAGGTATCAATAATTCCTATACTGCTGGGCTATGTCCTCTTTTCCCTTTATAATGTTCAATTTCATTATTTTCACAATATCTGGGGCTAGGTTGAAAAAAAACCAAAACAGTTGTCATAACTCGAGCCCTTTCTCTGAAGTTTAAGCTGCTTTCCATTTCCTGGTGCTGCTGAGCCAGGCTGATTTGTTGTAACTCTTTTTTCTTTTGGCAATGCTGTATTCTGGTCTCTTGCAGCTCCCCAGAGCCCAGCGCATAAAACACAGCCAGGTTATGTCAGACCAGGGATCTGTTTGTCCTTCCTCACTGGGTTTTGTCCACATGGAGTATTGCAGGCAGCTTTTCAAGCACTCTTGGTACTGGCATTGGTGCAGTCGTTGTGTGGACACAAAGGCTTCTGGCACCTCAATAAAGATGACGACGTGTATTTCCTTTACACTATCAAGAGTAGAAAACAAAAGTGCCATTCAAACCACGTTGTGGTTTTAAGTTTGAACGCCTGCAGAGGCTCTTCCCCCAGCCCGACACCCATGCAATGCCCTGTGCTGTACAGTAAACAGAGGGCAATTTTCCCATGAGAAATCTTTGCTGAACAGGTTTGAGTGAAGTGACTGCTGCTCTGTTTTTGAGAGATGGGCCCTATGTCCTGGCCTCTGGGTCTCAATATGTATCCTGTCTTACTTTTCAAACTGAACTTAACCTAACTCTCCAGCAACAGCCTGCTGCTTCTAAGCCTGACTCAGTGGCCACAGAAATCAATGGGAATCGTGGTTTAGAGCCAGAGCCGATGGCAATGCCATCAGCTCTGGCCGCTCCAAAGCTGAATATTGGTGTTGCAGGACCAGTTTCAGCAGATTCACATTCCTAAATGTGTCTTCTTTCTGCCCTGTGGCAAAGTCTTCCTCGCTGAAACTTCAGAGTTGAGTACTTAGTAGGCAATTAATCATATCTAATCTGCAGGCAGGCAGACGTACTTTCACTTTGGAGCACTTTCCCCAACAAACACTGAGTAAAATCCGGTCTATGCAGACTTGGGAAAGTGAGGGAAATCATTAATATCCACAGTTGACTGTGCTTGGTGAAGGCATCGCAGCACTGCTCCCACCATCCCCTTCCTTTTGACCTGCACTCCCTGTGTGCTCTTTCCATGATAAGCCTTGTCGTGATCGGACCACAGCTGCTGTGCCAAGTTCACACAGCAGCACTTTGACAAATGAGCATCCTGTGGGATACAGCTGGGAAATGCTGAAGGAATCTCGCTGTAACCCACAGGTTCCCGTGCCTGGCCTCCCTGTGTCACATGAGCTGAAAAACCTGAAAAAATTAGTTTCCTCTTTGCCAAAGTCCTCTGCAAGGACCCTGCTTCCATCCTTGGCAGAGGAACAGCTATGCTATGGCGAGGCAGAGTTGGATGCCCGACTCCAATTGGCCTTCATGGGCAGTATCATGGCACAGCTGAGAAAGGCTCTCATCTCCCGTCCCACCAGTGGAGCGGGCAGTGAGCTGGGGGGGCAGGAGCCTGGTGGCTGCTGAGAGCAGCCCTAGTGTGAGTGTGTGCCTGTGCAGCTCTGTGCAAAGAGGCTGGCGCTAACTGAGCCGAGACCTGACCGCAGCCTGTGGCCTCTGTCACCTCTCTGTTCCCAGTGAAGCCTCCCGGACCCTCCCATCTCTGGAGTCCATCCAGAAGGTGTTTGAGCAGCAGCTGCACCCTGGCATCCATCAGCGCTCGCAGGTAAGCTGGCTGGAAGGTGGGAGATGAGAACAGAGGCGTACAGGCGGTTGGCCCCTGGGGGAAGGGAGGGCTCTGATATCCCAGCAATGCTTGGTAGGTTGCAGGTGGTGAGTTACGACCTGTGCTCTCTTTAGCCTCACGTTGGCTACAATGCAGAGGGCACACGGTGAGTTGCACCCCACAGTTTCACTTATCCCATAGTCTCCTCTGCCTGCTTCCCTTCCTGCCCCAGAGGAAAATGCAGCAAAATCCCTGAGGGCTTCTGTCCCCTTATCCTCCCTCGGTCTGCAGGCTACGACTGCACCTTTGTCTTTCCACACTCTTCAGGATGTTTGACTGCCAAATCACTCCTACCCAAAGCCCACCTAAGTCCTCTGACTTTGCTCTCCTCACCAGTAGCTCAGAAATACAGAACTCCAGGACTGAGCCCTGCACCTGGTCATGCAAACCTGTCTCTCAGCTGACTCCCTTGCATGTCCGTACCTGTAGCCTATAGGCAAGGTTTGCAAATTTGCCCTTCAATCCTGCCATACGTCTGTACATTCAGCCAAACGCAGTGCCTTCCTGCTGCTCATTGCAGATAAGAGTCTTCCAGGCAATGCTCTGTGGGTTTGGTAATTATACACCCCTCTCTTTTTGTTTCTCTGTTGTGGTTATCAGATGCTTGGTGAAGCCAGTCCAGTCAATATTGTACTGAAACTCAATCAGCTGGTCTCATTGCTGTCTTCCATTGAGGAGAAGGTAGAGTTTTATTTATCTTACACTGTTTTCATGTCATCTGTTGCCTCTATTTACACATCTCATGTGTCTCTGGCTCATCATAAGTGCAATCCTCTGCCACAGTAAGATTCCTCTGCTCCGACTTCCTTACCCTCGGGGTAGTGCACAACTCAGTACACACGGGTTCTTTTCCAGGTGAAAACATTGTTGATCGAAGGTCCTGATTCAACACACCGCCGTTCCCTCATCCCCCCTGTAACTTTTGAGGTAAACATTCTTCTTTAACAATGCTGACCAAAATGTAGAGGGACAGCCGTGCGGATTTATGTCAGTCTCTCAGTTCCGAGGCTGTGCTGCCTCAGAGATAACACAGCTGTTCCTATTTGCACCATGCAAATGCTTAAGAGATAACTGGTGGGATTGGCATAATGATGTATGTGTCTATGAACCCAGGCAAATGTTGTATTTTGTAATACATGCGACTGGGGTGCATGAGATTGCTTGTGTCAAATATCTCTGTTTTCTGATAGGTGAAAGCCGATTCTCTGGGAATTTTCTCAAAAATACATCTCAAGGTTGACGTGGAAATGGGAAAACTGATTATCAAGAGAGCTAAGGATGGCCCAGAAGACAAATTTTATACTCATAAGAAAAGTAAGATACTTAAGGTCACAAATGTGGGACCAGATGCTTGGTCCCATGGATGACGGAGGATGGGCAGGAAGATAGGAATGTCTGCCTGGCCCTGGGTGCTGTGTGAGCTCCAGGCAGACCTGGCTGCCTCTCCCCAGAGCAGCCTGCAGACAGCAGGAACTCAATACTGGTGTAACCAGCTTTCGCAGACTGTTTTAAAGGGCAATCTGCCTGGCCTCCTGATCTAAAAGAAGAGCAGGTTTTGAGAGAAGATTGATTACCCTTAGAGCTGGTTGCAGTAGAACCATTCTCTACTAAAAGCAGTATTGCTGGAAAGAAACCTGCTGTATGTTGACTCCTGTGACAATTTTTGATGGTAAAAAGCCAGATACTCAGTTTCAGTACCACAGTACAGAGTATCTTCCCTTGATTTTCATTTTCGTATGTGAATCAATATCTTTACCGATGAGCAATGCTAGTTTGGGCTGTGAAGGCCCAAGTCAAACAACTTTCCTTTGCCTCTGATGTTTTTTAGACAGACAGCTCTTTGAAGATTCCTATCGATTTTTTTGTCATACCCCACTCTTCCCTGAACATCACTGCCAAAAACAGTAGGATTTATCAAAGAGAAAACGATGCCCTTGGGCTCTCCCCTCTGTAGAAAATCTCTCTGTTGCTGGCAGTGACTGACAAGATTTGCTTTCATGTACAGTTTTCTCCATCTCGTGTTCATAATTATCTAGTTGCTATTTTAGATGGGGATTATTCACCTTTACCATCAAATGGGATTCTATCTCCTCATTGCTAGATGGGGAAAGAATGTGAGGAGGTAGAGAGGTTGTCTGGAGGAAGCCAAGGCTTCACATCAGCCCTACTGGGCTCAATATGGACAAAAGCTCCAGGCAGGAGGAATCTGGGGCCTCTGCTTCAAGGGCAGGGTCCATTCCTGCAGGAAACAGGATTTAGCAACATTAAAGTGGAATTAGGCAGGACAAAGTCAGCCCCAGACATAAAAGACCGTGTAAATCCCGAGTCTGGGTCTGAGTCTTAGTTTTGGTGGGATTCTAGCTTCAGAGGTCACAGCTCATGCCACCCAGTCTCTGTTTAGTCTTGCAGCTTATCAAGTCTCAGAAGGTCCCTAACAAACTGGTCATCGTGCTGGAAACAGAAAAAGAAAAAACACAGCGGAAGGAATATGTTTTTTCTGATTCCAAGGTAAATACACAGTGTTTCCTTCTTGCCAGCCTGGATTGGATCTGTGGGGGGTACAAAAAATTTACAAAGGGCATTCTTTATCAGTAAAAGAAACTGTTGAAGGATGTAGTTGGCTTGGCAAAAATGAAATTTCTTTGTTCTGGACACATGCAGAAAATGGAAAAATGGACACTGTACAGGGAGATAGTGGAGAGGGCAGGCATGCCTTGGTGATGTCACCTAGGCAGGAGCAGAACAGGCAGTCAGCAAGAAGTGAGAGAGGCAAAGAAGAGTCTGACCTTTTGCAGCTGCAGAAAGGTTTCTAAAGCCAAACAAGAGGAAAGCCTAGGCTTCCTCCTGGCTGGCTCAGCTCTCATTAAAGTAATGGACAAGCTAAGAGCCCAAGAAAGTACCACAGGAAGGAGAGCCTCTTTGAAGGTTTCAGGACGGTGGGGAGGTCATCTGCCCTCCAGGTGTGCTGGAGTTTCCTGGCCCAGCTGGTTTTTCAGGAGGTTGTGTTCTTGGAGTTACACATCCCATTAATTGTCTCTGCTCCTCCCTGTCCAGAAGAGAGAAGGGTTCTGCCAGCTTCTGCAGCAGATGAAGAATAAACACTCTGAGCAACCAGAGCCTGATATGATCACTGTCTTCATTGGGACCTGGAATATGGGTATGGGCTCCCTTCTGACATGGGCATTCCTTCGGACTTCCACCGCAGTGTGCTGTGCTCTCCTGCCACAACAGGTCCACACACTGTGTTCAGTAGCAGATCCGTATGCCAGGGTCTTCCAGTGAGACAGGAAGAGAGGAAGCTTATCTCTAGGCTTATTCTTGTGTGTGGTTTGATACTTTCCATGTCACACAACCATATAGTTGGCCCTGAAGTGGGTGCTGAAGGATTCCTCCAGTATAGGAAATCATGGCTTGCACAAAGCTGGTGCAGCAGTCCACACCATTATCTGTCCCATCAAAAGGCCAGGAGCACATCCAGTGACTGCATGCCACTTGACCAGGGGCTGCTTTTGTAAAGCCTTGAAAGCAAGAAGAGTGTCTGTGATATTCAGAAGACAAGAGCAGGGTGTAGTTGAGGACAGTGGAATTTTGAGTTAATTTTCCCATCTGTGGAGAAAATCCTTTTCAATGCTGTGAGCTCAGCTGTTTGAGCTCATTCATAGTTGATAAGTAAAGTGAAGGCAGGCCAGGAGAGCAGCCCCCAGCTGTTATGCTCAGCTAACCTTGGCCTTGGTAAGCTAATAAAACAAGGAAGATGGCTAGAGCCTCTGCAGGTTTGACATCTCCATCACCTTAGAATATTCTGCCCTGGCTGACAGGAAACCGGTCCTGGACAAAGTGAATGGGAAGCTTATAGTTTCTATCCCCTTGTGTGTATTAATGAGTTTTCTGTGTCCTGGGTTTGGCTGAACATGCACTGACTTACTCTGGTGTTTGATCTGTTAATAAAAGGCGCTGCTCCTCCCCCAAAGAAGATCACCTCGTGGTTTCTCTCCAAGGGGCAGGGGAAGACACGAGATGACACCGCTGACTACATTCCTCATGACATCTACGTCATTGGCACCCAGGAGGATCCCCAAGGAGAGAAGGAATGGCTGGAGACCCTGAGACAATCCCTGCAGGAAATCACCAGCATCAGCTTCAAAGTGGTGAGGAGTTATTCTAGTCATTGCACATAGCTCAGGCATACGAGGAGAGCACATGTTGTGCCAATAAAAGAGGCAGAAGAATAAATAGCATTTTGCCTACGCTTCCTCCCCTTCCCTCCCCTTATTGTCATCACATTTGGCTAGGGGAGAGCAAACCAAATCTGCCTGTGGACTCCACAGCATCCTCTCCTGGAGCTGGCTGAAGGACGGTTTGCTCCAGAGAGTGCCCCTCTGACCAAAGCACCCTGCCCTGCAGCTGCCCTGCCTCCAGCCTGCCAGCAAGGAGCAGCTGCTGATCTCTGGAGTCAAATGATGATGGTGTTTTGACTTTCATAAGGAAGGAGTCTGAAACTTTTCAGCCAGCTGTAGCCTAGATCTCGCCCTTGGCTTTTGCATTTCCAAACAGTAACAGCACATGGTCACTGCCATTAAAAAATAAAAAAAAACCAAAAAAACCCACAAACCTTGAGCCTTATTGAGACCAGACTTGAACATTTCTTAGTTCAGAAATGGTAAGAAACACATCTAAACATATGTGGAAGGCCAAAGGAGAGCGGGACTTTTATTAATCACTGTCATGGTGATTGGGAAACTGTATTTTGTACAAGCAAAGCAATTCAAAGACTAACTAGAAAATAGCAGTAGAAAATAGCTAGGCCCTTCCTCCCACCTTTGATTAAATAACTGAGTGACAGATTCCAAGCACAAGAAGAAAATCTTTGCAGGAATGTGCTAGAGAAGAAGTCAAGAAAGCTGCAATTACAGCACAGCTTGCAGGTCTGTGCAGAAATGTAAGCCCTGACCTTCCCATCCCTGCAGATAGCAATCCATACCCTGTGGAATATCAGGATTGTCGTACTGGCCAAGCCAGAACATGAGAACCGGATCAGCCACATCTGCACAGACAACGTGAAGACAGGCATTGCCAACACACTGGGTAAGGAGCAGATGCAGCTAACCCAGAGGGCTGACACATGCTCAGTCCATGCCGGTCCCATCCTTGAGACAGAACACTGACTGTATCTTACCTTGTAAGAGAAGAAATCTCTGTGTGTGCATACCCTAGCTTCTACGTTCCCAGCAAATGCCTTTGGCCATGCTATTGCTCTTTTTTGGGTTTCACAAGGAAATGGCATTTCTTTCACTTCAACTGATGTTCTTTCATATCCTCCAAAAGATTTGTTACCACGCTGTATGCAGCATCTACTAATTCTTTCTGTGCTGATTAAGTCAACTGATTTCTCCATCCTTCACTCAAGATGCGCTCAGTGTTTCTTTATCTTTGCTAGACTCAGTCCGGAGGTGGACTGATTTCTTGACATTTTTGGCTTATCTTTTTTCCAGGTAATAAAGGAGCTGTGGGGGTGTCGTTCATGTTTAACGGAACCTCCTTTGGGTTTGTTAACAGCCATTTGACTTCAGGAAGTGAAAAGAAACACAGGTAAAATATGTCCTCTCCCAAGAGGATGTTGAGCCTTTGGGTGAAACTGAGCCATGAAGGAGAGCCCAGCAGACTGCTGCAGGCCAGTCTTCTGGACCCTAAAAATGCATTAAATGTAGGAAGGCCATTTCTATCCAGGAATAATGCGCTGAAGGGTGCTGTCTCCTCACTGTAGGGAGTGTTGTGAGCATAGGAACTGTGCTGCACCCTGGGGCACAGCTGAGAAAGATCCTGTTAGGGTGAACGTGCTGTGGGGAATACAGGGAATTATCTCCATGGTGGCTAATTCTCAGTGCTGAGCCATGAAATGAATCTCCATAGTCGGGTTTTTGTGCAGCAGAGTGCTAGAAGGCAAAGATCTTGACATTGGTTGGAGTTTTGTGCTCATGCTGGGGAAAGCTGGAGCAGATAGAAGGAATGGTCTTGAAAGCAAAGAGGAGTTGAAATGAAGAAGTTGGCTGTGCCATCTTTACTGGGTGCAAGACCCAGAAAGCACGTGGCATGGGATTTCTGCTCTGGGTCTTCCACCGATGGAGTTAATTTCTATGAAAGGGTTCCCCAGTGCCTGGAATAGCTGCTAAAATCAAGTTACGTGTTTGTTGCTGAAAGCTGAAGGCAACAGTGTAATGGTGGGTTTGTAGGGCATGTAGCTCAAAAAAGCACAATTCTGGGAGGCAGCAAAATTGGCTTTGGAACAGCTTTTGACCCTTTTGATTCAGCTGGAAACAATCTGTCCCCCAGAGCAGAGCAGTCAGGATGTGCCCCTTGTCCTCCTGTCCCCCAGCTCTCCCTTCCCCAAGGTGCAGAGTAAGGGAGGGATGGCAAGTGCTGCGCTTCAGAGCTGCTCTTCTCTGGGTGTTGAGCCAGATCAGTTTCTGCCTGGCAAAGCAGCGTTCTCTGCCAGCCCAGGCATTTAGAAATTGCATGGCAATTTAGGATGTCAGGCAGATGTTTCTTGTCTTGACAGACGCAACCAGAACTACACGAGCATCCTGCGCTTCCTGACGCTGGGAGATAAGAAACTGAGTCCGTTTAACATCACTCATCGTTTTACTCATCTCTTCTGGCTGGGAGACCTGAACTACCGCGTGGAGCAGCCCCCAACGGTTAGGGACCGCACGGAGCCCTGCGGAGACAAAGCATGATGTTGCTATAGAAGCACTCTCTTTTTCTAATCTAGAGCAATGTGACATACAAAGTGGCAGAAAGAGGGGAGGCAGAAGGGATTCCCTAGGTACAGTGTGACACCAGCTGAGGAAGAGTAAGGAAATCCCCTTTGGCCTCTCCGAGGATGAATGGATCCTGGGTGTACCCAGGAATGCCACCTGACACTGTTTCTCCAGTTTTGCTTCCACAAACTTCCACCACTCCACTCCCCATGTGAATGAGCATCTGTCTCTGAAGGGCTAGATGCAGAGGCTGCCCTTCTGATCTGCTGGATTAGCTTTAAGTGGCTGATAACAGGCCTCAGAAACAGGCTAGCCATACTATATGCTGGTCAGGCTTCAGTGAGCAGGAGACAACAGCGAGCTCAGTGCTGGTGTGAAGCTGTCAGTCCATGTGTTTGTGTGCATGTTCACACAGCGGATAAGTGAACATTTTAATGCCAGTTTTGACAGAGAAATGCTCAGCCACATAGCAAAGGTTGGGGCCTTCCAGTAAATGGAAAGTGGGGAAGTGATGAGCTGTATGGCTCTGTGGAACTGCTCAGGAGTATTTGCTGGCTTACCCGTGAGGGAGCATTTCAAAGAAGGTCTTACATCATCTGCAGCTCTGCTGTTTCCCTGTTGGCAGGAAGCAGAGAATATTATCCAGAAGATCAGGCAGCAGCAATATCCGGAGCTGCTGGCTTTCGACCAGCTTCTCATAGAGAGAAAGGACCACAAGGTGTTCCTGCAGTTTGGTAAGGCTCTATTTCAGCAGCAGGTTCCACTCCCATTCCCAGCACCTTCCTCGGCTGAATCAAGTGTGGGGCATACAGAGCGGTGCCTGCCCTGCCCAGTGGGGCTTCTCTACAGGCTGGGCTGTAACGCAGCTGTCTCTCTATTTTAGAGGAAGAAGAGATTACTTTCGCTCCCACCTACCGTTTTGAAAGAGGGACCCGAGAGAAGTATGCTTACACCAAGCAGAAAGCAACAGGGGTAGGTGGAATCCGATTTTCCTTCTGAAGCATATAGCAGAGCTGGGAAAGTAACCCCTCCTGAACAAAGTGACCCAAACCAATCTCTCCATTTTCCACACTTTTTGAAAGGACAATGCAGACAAAAAGATTTGACACAAATCTTTAGCGTTTGGGCGAGTTAATTTCTTTTCTTTTGTGAAAATGTCCTTTCACTTCTTCTTGACATCAGTTCTCCCTTGGTTTGTTTGCAGATGAAGTACAATTTGCCATCCTGGTGTGATCGAGTGCTCTGGAAATCATACCCCATGGTGCACGTTGTGTGTCAGTCCTATGGTGGGTAGATAACAGCTTGGAGATAGCAAAGCAATCAGTCTGAAACGGAAATGATTCAGAGCAGAGTCTGTAGGAATCTCCCAGCGCTGCCAGGCACTCAGCATAGAGGAACCTGGTGTTAAACCAGGCAGACCAGAGCCAAATCTCTTTGCCTGTAACCATACAAAGTTAAGAATTAATTTTGCTATACATTTATATGCAGAATGCCATCACACAGCTGTAGTTGTCTGGCTTTAGGGTCCCTTCACACCAGCTATTTCTTGGCAACAACTGCACTATTCCTGTGTGCTTACCACCAGTGGTTCCTTATTCAGTGGTACCAGCAGGACAGACCCTTTGCCCAGCCTGCAGAGCTGGAACTTCTGTCAGTTCACAGTCCTGAAGGACTGCATGGTACCAAGTGCTTGCCTGTTCCCTTTCTTGCAGAGAGCTTCAGAAAAGTCTGCTGTAGGGAAGAGGGAAACGTGCAAGACCTGTTTAATTAAGACCTAGATACTAGTTCCTGAAATTTCATTGACTATGTGTAGTTCTAAATATGTGGGTATGAAGCTGTTGATCTACGTATGGGGGTTGGAATGAGGGCTGTAGGCATCTCCTAAGGGATGAGCTGGGCTGATCTGATCTCACAGCCTCTGCTGATGCAGTGTGCTGTTGAGTAAGTACCTCTGTGAGGATGGCATCTGGCTGGTCCCATTCTGCTCAATGAGCTGGACTTGCTGGAGCTGGGAATGTGCTTAGACAGTGCCTCAACATTGCTCACCCCACTGCTCATCTTGGGCCATAACAGCTACGTGTTCCTGTGTGATTTCAGAGCTGTGCACCTTGCAGATTTAACCCAGAGCGCTACAGGTGCTTTCTGTTTTGGGGAAACCTGTATTGGCAGGTTTGCAAAACCTGCTTGCAAAATGATATAGTAACGTTTTGTCTATTCACCGAATCTTCATGTATTTTGACAAAAGTGTTACATTCCTATACACTAACGTGAGATTATGTATAAATACCTCAGGCTAGAGGCAGGTAGCACAGCTCCACTTACGTTTTCTGGAAAATTAACCAACCAGCATTGCAGTGATCCCGATGGGGAATGAGAGGGCAGTAACCATCTCCCTTTGCTGTTGCCAGGCTGCACCACCGACATCACCACCAGTGACCACAGCCCTGTCTTCGCCACCTTTGAAGTGGGAGTGACCTCACAGTTTGTTTCAAAGAACGGTTAGTCAGACCGAGGGCACACGCGCTGTGCTGCCCTGCACACGTGTCTCTGGGGATATAAAACACAACATGTTGTGTATGTTGAGAGAAAAAGCTGATTCCTCAAGAGTGCACTCAGAAATGCCCTCTCTCTGTCTCCTGTTACACATGTACTTATTTCTCTTCTCTTTCCTAGACTCCAAGTACATGAACACCCAAGGGGAGATAGAGTTCCTGCACTGCTTCGCTACGCTGAAGACCAAGTCTCAGACCAAGTTCTACATTGAATTTCACTCCAGCTGCTTAGAAAGTAAGGGTTTGCCCATCCTTATTCCCTCTGTCAAGGTCTGCAGCTTGCTTGGATTGATTTCCCGTCTTGTACAAACAGCTGTGTAAGTCAAGGCAAAAAAACACCAAGGATGTGCTAGAGATGTGTTGTATTCTGCAAGTTATCCTATACTATCCATCATACTAACACCAGTAGTCCATGCTTAAGACCTTTCGCCATTTCTTCCATCTTGTCTGGCAACCTGATCATCTCTTCCTTGAAGAGAAACATGTTTTCCTTGCTTCTGCACACAGAAAAGCTCTACTTGGCAAATGATTGCTCGATCTCTTAGCCATGCCTGCTCCAAGTGATCAGCTGCTTCCAAAATAAAGCATCTGCTTTGAGCTAATAAAAATAATACGATTCTCGTGGTCTGAAAAGAGTAAATCAGGAGATCAGATTAAAGAGAAAGGAAGAAAGGGTGTGATGGTTCTGGGACTGGGACTGTGTGCCTACCAGGGCTACATGTTCTGTCCTCTGTCCCCATGCTGCAGGGCCGAGCCTCAGCTGTTTATGTAACACAAGCCTGTCTGCCCTTACGGTGGTTTTTTCAGTGATTCCCATCACAGGACTGCTCTTCTAAGTGGGACAGCGTGCCTTCGGTGTATGCTTCATCACGTTGTCGCGTGTCAGAGAGCTGTGTCAAAGACAGTTCCATAAAAGATTATTTTTTTGGCTGTATCAAAATTTGCATACATTTCTATGGAAACAGTGTATTGCAAATCTTAAATTAGAATTTCAAAAGTGTGCTATCTTGAGTGGCGTAGGAAGAGCTGTCATGTTCTTATCCTACAGCCCATGGCTGCACCGAGCTTTTCAGTGCCAAGTTTAACTGTAAAATAGAACTATGCAACGATGCCCCATTAAGACCACTTGTAAATTTACGATGTAAACATTCACCCAAAGTTCAAACACTGAGCTTCTGAACACTTTTAAAACCTGTGCCCAAGTGGGAAAATAATGGCTAGCATTTTGGAGATCCAGCATCTGAAAAGGGTTTGAATCCAAGTTCTTGCTGACTGTCATCTGGTGAACTCTTTTCTCATCCCTTTGCAGGCTTTGTAAAGAGCCAGGAAGGAGAAAATGAGGATGGAAGTGAAGGGGAGCTTGTGGTCAAGTTTGTGGATGCTCTTCCAAAGGTAAAGTGGGAGCATCCGCATGGAAGAGAAGCCTTCTGCTTTGCTAAGCAACATTACATCCCAGAATCGCAGGGGACCTCAAGAGACCATCAAGTCCAAACCCCAATCTTTCTCTTATGTAAACATTTTCAGAAATATTGCTGTCATGTTTGCACCGAAAAGAGTCTGTAAGAATGCAGAATGGACTCAAGACAAACAGCTTGTAAGAGAGAAAGAACTTTCCTGCCAGTATGCTTCTATCTGTACCAAGAATGGTACAGATGGCATGATTAAGTCACTCAGGAGCATGACATTTTTCCTCACCTTTTCAGTGAGACAAAAAGCCTTGTCAGATAAAGTTTTTTCTTGGTGTTTCTGTGAAAATTTACCAAACTATTTTTTGCCTGTGTTAAAAATACCACCAGTGGCCAAAGGGAGCATTCTGTCCATTCCCTGAGATGGGAGCTGTTCTCCTTTTCCTGGCGTGGCAAGAGCTCGTAGAACTGCCAGAGCTGCTGTATGTGGTGTAAATATGCACTTCAGTACCTTTCTGAATAGCCCAAAAGAACTGCTGACTCTACAATAAGTGATGGTAACAGACAGTTTTTGGGAACAGGCTATAATCAGACAGCAGATCACTTCCTCCCAGAGCAATTTTCACCCCTGCACTGTAGGAGAAAAACGCAGCTGAACCCAACAGGAGTGTTTTGCCTGTAGAATCCTGGCTGCCACGCTGGGTAGGAGCAGGTGGGACTCTAGAGGTGTAACATCCTACCACAGATCTCCAAACATCATTGAAGAGGCTGAGCCTGGGTGTTACATGGTGCCCTCACAGCTCTGTCCAGCTGAACTTCGCTCTCCTGGAACTGAGAACTTTGTTCATATAGATCGCCTTTGTAGTGACCTACATTAACTTGTCTTTGCAGCTGACTCCAATTATTTCAGACCCAGAATACCTTCTGGATCAACACATCCTGATCAGCATTAAGTCATCAGACAGTGATGAATCTTATGGTAAGTGCTTAGCTCTAAAGTTCTGGATGAGTCAAAGTTGACTTAGATTTTCCTAAATCGCTGAAAGAGTGGGAGAGAACAGAACTAACTCCTATAGACTGAACATCTATGATGCTCTGACTTCTGATTTAGAACTCAATACATACAAAAATACATTGTGGGCAGTATTTTATGAAGTAATGATGATTTGAGGTCTGCGAGCGAAAGTCGTCAATCTGTGGAAGCTTTACCAGCTCTAAAATACCAGTGGCTTAAAAAGAAAGCACACTCTGGGAATTAAGGCAGGAGTCACTCTGTACAAACGGGTTTAATCGGAACACGTAAATCCTATTTCACTTGCACTTACTTGATACATTTCTCCTGGCTACAGAAAAGTCCTCGTCAGTGCTGCTTGCTTCCAAATTCTATGAGCCAGTGGCTGCACACCTTGCCCAGAGAAGGCTCTGGGCTGAAATCTTATTAACTGACACACCAGTACCAGGCTTGTGTTTTCCTTACCAGTAATGGAAGCTCAGAACCCTGTAGGCACCTGTCTGGAATGCCCAAATCCTTCACATGTGTGTGAAATACCCTCGATTTCCCAAGAGGTATTACAGGCCTTACAGTCATCCAGAACAGGTCCCTCCCAGTAATCTCAGCCCTGTCCGCACAGATGTAGATGACTGACAAGACAAAGGGATTTCAGTGCTTTTTTCCTCAGTCTTGGGCTTATTCCTTGTTATCCTCTAGGGGAAGGCTGCATTGCCCTGCGAATAGAAGCAACAGAATCCTTAGTTCCTATCCATACTGTGCTGACACACCATGGCGAGAAAACAGGGGTCTTCCAAGGTGAAATCAAGTTACAAACATCACAAGGAAAACAAAGAGAGAAACTGTATGGTAAGGAGCTAGATCATCTCTATAATGTTCACTGTAGAGTATTTCCATCCTGAAAAACAACTGTCAAGGAACTGAAAATTATCCTTGCAATTCTTTTGCTGTCAGCGAGATGATGTGAGTATTGTTAATTCTCAAGGGTATACCTGTACTCTTTCAGGAAGACACAGCAGTTGTGTTTGTTTTTTATCGTTCAAGAAAATTTGGCAGACTGAGAGAGCCCCCTGTCTGTCACTGATACTGATTTTATTGACTGGTGATGCCTTATCTCCACTTGCAGTGGCTATATGGTAACGTGCTGAAGCTGATCTGGTCACCTTGGGAAGCATCTGCAAAGAGCACGTGTGGTTCTTAGAGAGCAGTTTCTCAGCTAAAAGATGGCAAACCTTTCTTATGGTCATCTTGCTGCCTGCTGTTCTCTTTCAGAATACCAGTGATGTGCACTCTTGATGGTAAAATGATGTGTATGTGACTGGGGAATCACAACCTTTGGTTGTATTTCAGGATAGACACTTTCTTATACAAACAAACCTTGATAGGTAGTAGTAGGCACTTGAAAACATGATAGCAATGACTGTTTAGGACCAGCTCCCTGACATTTTGATACACACTGCCTTAATACAGCACTAATACAGAAAACTTGGGAAACCAGACTGTGGAGCTGCCCGACATTCTGGCTCTGCCTTTTCTCTCCTACAGATTTTGTCAAGATTGAACGTGATGAAATTGCTGGGCAGAAACCAAAGAACACCAACAACTTAGAGCTGAACAAAGACAGCGATCAGCTTAGCAGGTAAAGGGCAAATGGGTAAGTCAGCCACAGAAACCAAGCTGGTCAATACACGTGGAGCTGGGCTTTCTATGGGAATGGATTTAATAGGCATGGTGAACGCTGGGGAGCTGACTGTGTGGTCCTTTGGCCTGGACTGGTCAGTGCTTCTGCATCCAAAGCTCCAAGAGATGAGAACACCTCAGTCAGACTGGCTCCTTGCATTGCATTTACACTTCACCTTAGAAAGGGCCCTTTTATTTCCAACAGAAAATCAAAATCTACTCATCTGATGGCCAAAGAGGCTGCAGCCATTGCTCGCTATAGGGGGAATGCTTCCTCTTCTCCAGACAGCCTGGCAAAGGAGGATATGTTACGGTAATCTGACGGCTTTGCCTCTGCCAGCTTGTGGCAGGATGCTGTGCTCAAACCGCCTTCTGCCTGCACGTCTGAATGGCTCCGCCTCGAGAGGCCAAATGCCTCCTGCCGTTTCAGCAGCACTTTCCTACGCTGTGCAATGTTGCCTAGTGCTGTTCCCTGCCTCTTTTGCTTGGAGCCGTCCTGCAGCAGCTGCTGGGCTCTGGGCCCTTTAAGAGTCCTGTTTGCCCCTCCACGTGGCCGCGGAAGCTGAGTGCTAGCGCTCTCTGCAGCCTGGAGATGGGAACGTGGGGCTGGAGGAGGTATCCTTGACCCAGCTGCTTCCTCGCGGTGACCCCGGGGAGGGAGGTGCGAACAGGACTCCTACTTGGTCTCTGATTCTGAAACCACACTGACAAAAGTATCGGTAATAATCCCAGTGGGTGGCATTGAATCAAAGCAATCAGTGGGCGCTAACTCACCAGTGGCTGGCAGAACGACAGAACACAGATGCATTTGTGCACGCACCTTCTTAACAGTGTTTCTTCTCTTCAGCAGCTGCACTCCCACAGACATCAGCAACCCCAACTACATGGGGATGGCTGCTTTCCCTCAGCAACCATTTGCTGCCAGCCAGCTGAAGCAGGCAGCATCACCGGACCAGCCATCCTCTCTCTGGAACTACGAGCAGCAGCCCAAAGACAGCAGCTCTGTCATGGGACAGAGGGAATCATCCTCCACATCGCCCTCCTTGTCCCCTCTGTCTCCAAAACCATCTCTGCAGATTCCAGTGAACAGAAGCATCTGTAATAGGAGTCAGGAGCACCTGTGAGTGTTTGCCTTCTGCTCTGGGGTGCTGCCCTTCTCTCCTGTCGTTCTGCAGCCACTTCAAAGCCTCCATTTGAACAGTTCAAGGGGCAGCACATTCTTCAGCTTTTTATCTTCAGGATTAAATAAAGAGAAGGTCATAAGTGCAGGCATCAGATACTCAATCTAATGTCAGAGTTTCTCAGACTTTGGTGAAAGGAAAACCAGAGCTGTATGCATATGTTTGGTTTTCTACAAGCAGGGCTCTAGAGAGGAGGAAAAAAACAGAGCTGATGAAATGGAGGGGAAGAAAAGGGAAGAAATGAGCTTTCTAATGATGGGAAGGAGAGCTCCTTCACATGTCATGTGTGAAGTACTTCACCTGCATTTCTGCCTCACTGCTATACAGATGTACAGCTTGCTGCAGCTGTGCCTGCATCTATCACAGGTCTTGTTGCAGAATTTCCACTCAGCACCTCAAAATATCCTTAACAACTTGGTCAGCTGATGAGGACACCCCTCTAGTAATTGTACGTGGTCTGTGTCCCTATTCCAGATCTTTTTGTAGTGACAGCTGCTTTCTGAGTCTGGGCTGGAGTGAAGAGGTAAATGTATTCAGCACAGTGTAAGCCAGAACTTGCAGAAGTCACAGCCACTGTCTGTATGAGCCTGACAACCTTCACCATGCTCTCAGCGATCTGATCCTGCATATGGTGACTTCCAGAAAGTAGCTTGAGGCAAGGAGCACACCTCAGCTGAACACACCCAGGAACATGTGCCTTTTAGCTCTCTGTCCAGTGATATTGTGGACAATCTTTTAAGCCCAGCCTTCCCAGATCAGGCCAAGTCATACGAAACCCACAGAATCTCCCTTGTCCTGTTGCATAACTGTGCTCTCTTTCCATCCTTAATTCTAAGGATGCAGCTGTGAATGCACAGTGGTTGTTTCACCCTGCAGTGTGTAGCTACTACTTACATGCTGTGCTTACATTACTTACAGATTGAGCTTATAAGGCCCTGGGCAGCCTGAGCTGGTGGGGAGGCAGCCAGCCCATGACAAGGGTTGGGATTGGATTATTTTTAAGGTCTCTTCCAACCTAAGCTATTCTATGATTCATTTGGGCGCATGAAGGCATTTTATCCCTTCCTTAGGAATACCATGTGACATTGGTAGCAGGAGATTGACCTAGTTGTACTGATCCAGCATGATGTTAGCTTTTATGTTAACCGTCCAGACAGACATTTAAATCCTCCCTGACAGTTCTGAAGATGGTTATTAATGTTTTAATTGAGATTTGTGTATGTTGCAGAGCCACTGAAGCACTGGGTACAGGTTGGATCAGTATCTTATCTCTGTTCAAAGAAAAGCCAAATGTCACTTTGACAAGACTGTAGTCCAGCATGGAGGTTGTACAGCACCATGTCTATCTGCATTCTGCTGTCATGGTGATAATAGAGATTAAACAAACAACCCCAAAAAAGAAACAAAGGAACAAAAAAAGGGTGCACAGTTCTCTTATCTCCCCCCAAGGTTAATTTTTATCCCATTACACATTTATGCAGTATAATTTTATCATGTTCATCTCCTCTTTAGTTTCTTTTTCAATCATGCCTCTCCTCGTTACGATGCTTTGGTGATTGCAGGCCACCCGACCTGGGGAAGAACACAGCAGAGCCTTTGCTTCAAGAAGAGGGACAGCAAAAGCCGGAGATGATTGAGAACCCCCTGTATGGTTATACAGCCTCTAAGGGCAAGGCGGCAGCAAAGAAAGAGCAGGACTACCCCAAGGCCTCGCGAAAAGAGCAGCTGCCACTGCCTGAGCAGAGCTTTCACCTCACCAAGTCACAGGAGCCAGAGAGCAGCAAAAGCTCCAGCAAACAGCCATCGCCGCCCTTCCTGGTCCCCACGCAGCGCTTCCGCTCCTACACCTGCTCCGGCCAGTCCGAAGAAAAGAATGTGGGTGAAAAGACTCAAGGCAAACCGAAGGCGGCTGCGTCGTCCGAAAACTCAGCGCTGCTCAAAAAATCGGTCAAGCCGTTGAGGTCTGAGGTCAGCTCGGGTGTCCAAGGACAGCTCAGCAGGCCGCCCCTGCCCTCCAAGAGCCGGGCAGTGCTGGACATGCAGAGCTCCAAGGGCCGAGACTACCGGGACAGTTCTGAACTGCCGCACGCCGGCAAGCATCGGATAGAAGAGGGACCGCTCGGCAGGACGACCACACCGGTGTGTGTCTTGTAGGAGCGAGGGGAGGGGAGTCCACAAGCTGTGGTGTCAGACCAAAAAACTACGAGAGTAGTGCTGCCTTCCCGCTGTGCTTCCTGAGCAAACTCAGAGCACAGTCCTGCAAACCTATGGGGCTCACAGAGCAGGGGGTGTGAGTTTCTTCATGCTGCAGGTGTCACCTTGTGAAACTGTAGCCTGAGTTCTGCACAGGGTTTGAGTTGCTCCTGGGACATTGAAGCCTGATGGCCAGAAGAACAGTGCAAATAGTCAGCTACTTTGTTGTTGCTTCTTTGGTGCATACTTCATAGTTTATGAGAACGTTGGCCTGACAGCATGAAACCACACCGATAGTTTTGCTTTGCTTCACTTAACAGAAGAATAATTAAACATACTTATCTACGGCAAATACCAGTAATAGTATTGTTCAAAAACATTGCTGTGCAGGAATAATCCCACACCAGCTTTTCTGAGCTGGTTTTCTGGTTGGGTTTTTTTTTTCAGAAAGTCATGAGCTAGAGTAAGAGATGTCTTACTAAGTGACTTCAGACACAGAGAGAGCTCACTTGAGTGAGCTGTAAGGTTGTTGTTGTCCATAAGAACTCACAGAACTGGCAGTAGACAAGCTGATGTCTTTCTCTTGTCTCTACAGTGAAAGCAACGTGGCAGATGGCACGCCGGGAGGAGACCTGATGGGAAGAAAGATGGAGATTACAGCTTTGTTCACACTGAAAATCTCTGGTCTGGTTCTACAGAGACTGGGGGGTCTTTATTTCTGAGAGTGTGTCTCTCTATGATAATGAAAGTGTTGTAGCTGAGAAGTTTAACCTGTGTTGCTCAGACCAAGAGGGGCCAGGACCACTGACACAAGTTAGCCTTCTGTCACTATGGCACTGCCATTAAGAGGCAGGTGGCTAAGCACACACATCAGTCAATGTTTTGGAAAAAGAGGAAGGTACGGTGTGAGGACCAGGAGATGGAAGGGGGGGTGTATTTAGAGAACCCCTTTTTTACAAAAGCAATTTTCTGTTGTTCTGTGTTGCAGCATTCCTAATAAAGAGTGATATGTAAAAGAAAGCATTCTGAAAGCGGTACAGCTCCAGAGTATGTCAAATCTGTGCAGTAGGGAGCTAGGGGAGGGTGGGAAAAGTGTTTTAATAACAGATATTGATGAATGTCACACACTGCCAGTGGAGCCAGCTTTGCCTCTTGTGTGAGCTTGCAGGCTGCATCTGTGCATCCATGCAGAGGGTGAGGGCTGGCCAAGGCACGGTAGCTCCTTTTCCCACCCCCTTTTTTTTCCCTAGCAGAGAGAGGTTTTATACCCCTAAGAAGAAAAGGGAAATATCAGAACCACGTGCAGAAATGGGAAGGAATAGGCAAGGTCTATATGCAGCCGAGGAGTATAGCAGCCATCCCAGCCTTCCCTATGGCAAACACTCTGCTCTTGGAAGACACTGGCTGGCTGGTTTTGTAGCATTCTTAATAGATTAATGCTGACCTTACCGTACACTTTTTGTTTATTGTTGGAGAATGAATAATGTTAACATAATTGTGATTTCTGTTATATCCGTGTCAAGTATTAATGTGGTGGTTACAATTAGGCAATGCCTGTTTGTGACTTAATCATTGCTCTTGTTTCCATGTTGATTACTTAAAAATAATAAAATAGTCACTTTTCTGATCGTTCTTTGCTGCGAATTCAGAGCTGCCTGCCAGCTTCACTTTGGTGCTATCAGTAGCCATGCCCCAAAGGAACACCGACTGCACTGAGGTGTGCTGGGAGGCTGCAGTAGTGCTGTCCCAGAAGTGCCACTGGGATGCATTCATCTGTGTGCCCTGAGCCTCTGTGGGTATGGCTGGCTTATTGTGGCACCTGTTAGCAGGTACAGTTCCTAATTGTATGATATAGAAAGCTTTGCTTTTATACTGAGCACAGAAATTGTACTGGGACAGGAGGGAATCGGTTGGAAGTCGGGAGAATGGATGGGAGAGGACACTGTGTAGGTACCAAGCTTTTGCAAAGGGATTTTCCCCCATGCGGGTTGGGCTTTCAGGGCATCGTTAGTGAGATGTCTGGCTGCCTCACTGCACTGCAGGTTAGATAGTCCATGAGCTTACATTCCTCTTGCTTTGTTCAACAGAATCTTTCCTGTGTAGTTCCCACAGTTCAACACCTGTGGCATTTCCCTGGCCCTGAGGAGGGGGGGTTCCCTTTTCTATTCCAAGTACCAGAAGAACTCATCCAGCCACTGAATAAACCTTCCTGGGGCCGCTGAGCTTTCTATCCAATGTGAAACATTAGATCAGGTCCTACTGATGCTGTGGGATGCTCATGTATGTTTGGAGGTAGAAACGTGACCGATTTTCTATGAGAAGCTTTTAGATTCTCAATCATGAGACCGACTCAGCTTGTGATTGAGGTGTTTTTCCAATGACTTCCTAAGCTGTAAAAAAGAGAGCATGTTCCTCAACGTTTGTAAAATAACTGCTTGCCATAAAGCAAGGATAGTTTCTTACAAAATTATTCTCCTAATTGGAAATGCTATTGAAACTTGGCCCAGGTTTGCAGATAAGCAGTTTGAGAACACAGTTGTATTACCAAGGCATAATATAAAACCCAGGCTCTTCATTTGGCTTGTCCATATGGCCAGGCAAGAAGAGAAGCTCTCTGCAAAGCTGTCAGAAGAAAGCATGTGTTACTGTGCAGAAGTTGAGAGCTATCACTTGTAGCTCCACAGAAAGCCCAAGCCACAGTTCTCATGCTTATGGTTTGGTTGGTTGGTTTTTATTGTCTTTCCCAGTCTCCGTGCCCATCTCTTGAACCAAATGAAACTGGCTGGGTCTGAACACAAGCTGCTTTCTGCCCATACGTCCCTGATTCCAGGACTCCCTTTGGACAAAGCAGGCACATTTTACTGCACTCTGTTGTAATCTACTGTCTTTGAACAGGAGGTACAGGTAGGAGACAAGAAGGGAAGGGTATGAATTGTCCCCCAGGCACAGTACCTATCTGTAACCTTCCTGCATCCTTTATTTTAAGATCTTAGAATAGCTGCTGTCTTGGTGTACTTATTTCCATGGAGACCCAGATGTCAGAAATGTTTTAATTGCCTGGCTACAGCATGTAGTGTTGTAGAACATGGTGACTTTTTAGCACCAGGTTTCCTGCCTGCACCTGATACATCTGACACAGGTTTGCTTGTCCTCTTAGATGTGAAATCATCACAGGGCGATGCGAAGGCTTCTTCTAAAATGCTGTAATGGCAAATTATTTCCATCCTGGTGAAGGTGTAGGGTCTGACAGAAAATGGCCTGTGGAGGGATGAGAATAGAGGAAGGAAGAAAGAAAGAAACATGAGTTATTTGCCCAAAATATCAAGGGGGTAGTTTTGATATAGTTAGAAATGATGATGCTTAGGCCTCCTGTCTGCTGGGGCCAAAGGAAACTTTTACTAAAGTTATTGCCATGTTTCTGCTGTTTTTTGGCAGTTTTACATTAGTCCGTATCGTAACCGAAGGAGGTATTCTCCAGGATGAGCTGACTTCTCCCACATACAGCCCTATAATAATATGACATTCTACAGGCTGAGCTATTTGTGTGTGATGAACCAGTAGGTGCCAGGAATGGTTTCCTGGCCAAGGTGATCCACTGCAATTCCCAGAGATCTCTTAACCAATGGCAACAGATGGAACTGCACAATATCCTAACGCTTCTTTGCTATTTCCCTCATCTCTGCCTGAGTGAAATCAACTTCCCACTTCAGGACATAGGAAGGGACTCCACCCCTCCCTCAGCTGTTGTCCCCCTGGCTATAACACAAATTAGAGATGCAGCAGGTGGACTGTGAATTCAGAAAGCTGAGGTGACAGTGAGAGCTCCTGCTGAGCTGCGGTAAGAATCAGCAGTTTGGTGCCACGATACGCACCAGCTGCATCTGCACGACGCTCATTTTGTGGAGGACAAAATGTGTAATGAAGGACTTAATGGCTTTCTCTAATTCCTGCACGTAGCTGAAGCAAGAGGCAAGTTCAGCTGGAGCTGCGTCTCACCCAGCTGCTCACATCTGCCACTCCGGGTCCTGCTGTCACCAGCGTGCTCCTGCGAGCGCTCCTTGAGGGGATCATTATGCAACAGCAACAGGATGCCAACAGTCCTTCCAACACGCCGCGTTTCCCCACTGTAGAAGAGGTGTTAGCTGTGGAGGTACGCGATGTTCTTTCTATATATATAAGCAAACCTCAGATTATTATTCGCATGAATATGAAAAAGATCTTCCTAGCTCCGCAGTGCGCATGCTGTGGTTTCAAACGCGGCTCTTGGCAAGAAGTATTTTAGGATTGCTTTTGGATCAAGACTTCTGAAGTCTTTCACAAATTCTTTCACGGCCAGATCCCAGGTTGATGGATGAGACGTTTCTTTTTACCCACTGCAATTTGCTTCACTTTTTGTGATGCGTTATGAGATAAAATGTTACCAGAGGAGCGTTTGATCTCATTATGCATCCCCGAATTTCTCTGAGCCTCTGTTCTCAGTTCATTACCACGATCCTGCTTTATTAATATTATTTACAGATCATCTCTGTATTAGCTCCCAAGGCAACTAAACAAAGGGTGCATTAGACATGCGGGGCTTAATTCAGCTCTGCAGAACCATCCGCTGGTTTACAGTGTCATGTGTGTGAAGCCAGGGTTTATTTTTGTCCCAGTTCTGCTTTATTTGATTTCGGCCTCTAACAATGAATAAAATAAAGCTTTGCCCAAAGACATTTGGTCACTGCAAACGTGCAGAAGGGCTTCGACGTATCCTTTTAAATGAAAACTAACTGACACTCTGCAGCAGCATTCGGAGAACCACAATCAAACCTGTACTCTCAGATCTCCTGTATTGCAGGAGATGCCATGCAGACCTGCTGGGAGAATAGCCTCAGCTATTCTGTGCTTCTGTGATTGTATTTAAATGATAGTGCTGACGGTGATCTGCTACACAATATGATTAACACTTTAATGCATTGTTTGTCAAGGTCTGGACTGCATTACGTGCAGACTAAATTAATCTTGCACATCATAAAACATCATATTATATAATAACTAAGTGAGATAGAGATGGCAACACGGCAATAAATGTTGGTCTCTGGAAGAAATGAATGAATGGAAGCTGAAGAAAGAGACAGGCTGCAGCAGCAAGGTTTGCAGTAAGGCAAGGAGGGAATCTGTGGAATGAGAGAGAACTCAGGAGAAGGGGGTGGCTGAGAGCAGTATCCAACAGAAACAGTTTGGCCCAGAGGAGGGAAGAAGAAAAGACACAGCTAGGAAAATGGAAAAGAAACAATAGACCTTTGCAACAGGAAGGATGAAGCATCAGCACAGAAATTACGCCTGCTCTGTGCTCTGCAGCCATTTGCATCTTCACCATCGTAAGCATAAATAAAGCAACCAAGTGTGGGATATATTCCCTCTTTACAAACGTCAACTTGAAGATCCAGAACAACCTAATTCTAAAATCTCCCAACCTAACTTAGTGCTTGGTAAGGGCACCGGTGATCAGCATCTTCCCCCAGAAGTTTTAAATTTTAAGCCACAAGGTGGTAAAGGAAGCAGCAGAATCAGAGCAGCAAGCTTCAGCCTGACCTCACAACTATTCGAAAGCCTTCGGTCAGAAGCAGTTTAACTCACCGCTGTGCAAAGATCCGTTTCGGTCTCTGAGTGTCAGAAATCACAACACGACGTCTCAGCACAGAACCCCTGACAATTTAGGCTGCAAAGGGCACTGGGAGGTCACAACGACTGTTCACCATACCAGCAAAGAGTAGTCTACAAAATTCTCATAGAGGAATGTTTAACTGGCCTGACGTAGCTCCAGCACGAGAGCTTCCCATGTTCCTCAGGCAGTCTGTTTCCTGAGCTTCTCTAGTCTTTCCCAATCTCTGATGTGCATTTGTGATGGATTTTGAGACCTTTCAGTCTAGCCCTGACTCCCCTGAACAAGCAGATCACTTGTCTTCGTTTTCTGACACCTCATATTTGCACTCTACTCTCATGTTTCCCATCAGCCTTCTCTTCAGAGTAAGTGATCCCAACTGTTTATATCTTTCCTCTGGGTCGTATTTTGGTCACCCTAGATTTTTCACATCATTCCTGAAATGCGATGGCTCAAGCTGGACAAATCGCTAGAAACCTTGCTTTTGCTGATCAAAGTGGAGGGATCATTTCATGTCTCGTGCTGATGATGGTCCTGCTTATCTCTTTGTCACAAGGTTTGTCTTTTTCATGATAGCGTGCCTCGTCTGACTTTTGTTGGGCTGGTAAACCAATACAAACCTCAGATATTTTCCTACAGATCTCTCTGCCTCTATCTGCTGAATTCCTTCTGCCTGAGGTGCAGTACTTTGCATTTATTGCTTTTGAACAGCACCCTGGTTGCCAAGAGAGTTTTGGACTAGAAAGCTGCTCTCATCCTTGCAGTCCTCAGTCTGCAATACGTCCGTGCAAAACTCCTGTGTGCATGTCAGCAGATTGCCATCAGAAACAGAAATGGGTTCAGAAACTCTCCCAAAGTAGACAGTATCCTCCAGGGGTGCTGCACTTACACAAAGGGCCAAGCACAAAGACTGCAAGTGAAATTCTTCTTACACACAGAGCGCAGCGTAACGCTTTCATTTGTAGTGCCACTTTCTGGATGATACAAC